TCCAAATGCTAGGATGTTAAACTCCAGTTTAACCCACACAGTTCCATCTATGCTCAATCCTATCATATACTCTTTAAAAACAGAAGAAGTGATAAATGCTGTTAAGAAGCTTTGCAAAAGAAACAAACTAAACAGTACAGTCACAAAGTGGTGAAGTTTATATTATTATTGGTTGTACTGTAAATAATCTAATCTAAATGGATAATATGCTGTGTTTTGAGTGCTTTCCTGTCCTATGAAAATCAATCTGCTGAAGAACGTAAAATAATTTTCAGAAGAAAAGCATTTACAGCTCATCYGTATTTTCAAAAATATTTCATGAACCAGAGGACATATTTTAATGGATCTTTTAAAGTTGTCATTGGATGCACATTTAAAACTGATTGACATCAATCATATTTAAGATGGCCACCAGAGCTATTCCTAAAATCCTTAATACAAAATTTTTGGCTCATTTTTAACCTAATTGCATATAAGAGTATTGATCAAATGAAAAAAGCTTCTACTGTATCTTCAGTTTCTGTTTAAAATTACATTTTGATTGCTGAATTGACACTTTTTTTCCCATCTGGCTTTGTATGTTTGATTAAATAAGATTTTGTTTTGCCTAATTTGAATTCAGATCCTATAGGTAGTTACATGATTATTCACTGTTTAAAATATGTCAAGCACACAACACAGATATAAGGTAAAGTCTGTAGAGCCAGGCCAGGCAGGCCCTGTCACACTACGGTGTTTCAGACATACCAATTTATGAAAGGTTTAGGAAACTATATTAAAGATGGAATGTAAAAACTCAACTGGAAGCTTAGGCATGCACATCCTGGAATTCTAACAAATTGATCAAATATCTAACTTTTATTAGTGATTTAATGAAAAAAAAAAACATTTGAAAAGTTAGCAYAAGTTGTCTAAAAMCTTACAGTGTGACAGGGCCTTTAGTAAAGTTTTACTTGAAGACACTTATTTCACTAAAATCCACTTGTTACCTCTGCCAAGGGAGGATGTAATGTTTTCAGCCATGTCTGTCTGTCTGTCTATCTGTCTGTCTGTCTGTCTGTCTGTCTGTCTGTCTGTGGACAAAATTACTCAAAAACTTATGGACGGATTTTCATGAAATTTTCACCAGAAGTGCGTATTGGCCAAACAAACACACCAATAAAATTTGGTGATGATCCGGATCATGATCCAGACCCACAAACAGCCAATCAGCTTCAAGGAAGCTGACCGTAGACTTCCAATCACATCAGATCATTCGTAGATGGGTCAACCCCCCGACTGTAGACGTCCAATGGGATTGCCTGAAGCGGTGCACAAGACCAATCACACGAAGGCACATAGAAATAAAACTTTAGACAGAATTGTTTTTACATCGAAAAACTTACTGTTCGAAGTTACTTTAATGTAACAGCAGCTCATTTTCATAATACCTGTGCGTCCTAACTATTTAGTATTTTGTGTTTACGTTTTTGGAGTCCCCCCCCCACCTGTATCGAAAATGTAAGCTAGCTAACTCACCACCCCCCGTTCAGGTCTGTTATCCAATAGATAATGCTAAGGTTTACTTAAACAATTACGTTTATTCTGTTTTTTATGGCTAAATGTTTTCTTTTTTTCTGATGCTGTT